ACCGACAGTCTATTTTTATCCTGTTCCCTTAGTGGCCAAGTCTCTGTACCGTAAAGCAGAGCTGGCCGAACTGCTGCAGCATATACTCGACCCTTCACAGATAGCCGGATGTCACAACGGCGCCACAGGTGTCTCAAGTTGGTAAATGCCAACTGAGCATTCTGTACATAGGCAAAACTAATACTCAATGACGTGCACATATGCAACGTTGATTGGACTCAACACGTAGAAAGGTTTTCATTTTTATTTCACATTTCTTCTTAGATGTATTAAAAATGTTTTTCTTTGTCTACCGAATAAACAAATGTAGAGTCAACTTTCAGGAAGAGGGTTGCGGTCATACAAAGGCTGTCTGGGAAAATACAAAAATGGGGAAGATGAGCAGCGGTGCAGTGGATTGAACCCGGGGCTTATATTGATGATCTCAACCACTTGGCCACCACAGCTTGGATCCTTCAAAAAGAGGTGGATAATGTTCCATCGTTGGTGAATTCCTTCATCAATCGTGCTCACCCTTGTGGGCATTTAGCATTGTTTTGCGAATCAATACCCTGTAACCGAGTACACTGAAAGTTCCAAACGGCAATGTGACTACATGGNACGCATAACATGGAGTACCTCCCTGAACACTGGCCATGTGTGTGTGCGACTTAATCCGTCAAACTGATGATATTTGGCGTGTGCAGCAGGTGTGACAGCCCACTTCGCATTCTTCGGACGCGTTAACAAGGATAAAATCGATTTTGCCAAGTGACAGTTCAAATCGGTATACGAGCTCAAAATGGCACAGGACCATAAATAGACGCATCAAAATTAATGATCCTATCTCTATGCGTCCGCGATTAATTGCGGAAAAATAGTGAAGCGCCAAGAGTAGTTCCTGTGCTATATCAAGCAGTGGGCAATCGTATAACAAAACCTAAACAGTCTAACACCTGAGTTATCCACAATCTAAATTTCAACAGGTGAACACTAACAGCATCGTCATCTCGTATAACAGTAGCACTACACGATGAAAACTTCCGAACACGCACCACATAAACGGACCACATGGTCTTCATTACAAGTGCGGTAACGCACAAAAGCCACAAGACAGAAGCACGCATGATATCAACTTCTGAAATTTCAGTGGGAAATTCAACCGAAACACAATAAACACGATAATAACCGCAAAACCTTTAGGGAAAACATCGAAAAGAAATATGATGAAACCCGAAGCAAGTGTAGCTCGCAAGGAGAACAGTATGGTTGGTTTGTCCTTCAAATATGCCAGCTGGTCGACATAATCTGGTCAGTTTCGATAGACTTACTGACAATTACACCAGCAATATCTGGTCTAATGAAAATACACTCGGAAATCAAGCTGTAAGTCCGAAAAAAATCATCACAAAACAACGAAAATAGTTCATCAGATTAACTGGAATAACGAAACAAAGTGTATCATGATAATTGTAACACTGTGAGTTTCAACGACTGTATCCAAGGTCACAAAATAGTCAAGGTGGACAGGGGTAAAATAATTCAAAATGAATTATCGCGGACATCAAGCAAACCACTCACCCGCGTCTAATCGAGCTTGTTTCTTGCTCTGACCTGAACCAGTCGCGCATGGCTTGCCATCGATCACCACGGTCAACTGATACGGATTTCGGTCGTTCTCTTGTACCACTGTCTGATATGTTGGTGGACGACGGATTACGTTCTGACAGTATTCGTGCAAAATGCAAACAAATGACTTCCCGGTCAGATTAATTAGTCCTTCTGTACTCCAGCCCCGGATAAGAAGAAGTGAAACGGAGGGAGTTAATGGTAAATAAAATGAAATGCAGCTGAGGTGCTGCTAGCTGTATAATGAACATCAGCATGCATTGTACTGGTAAGTGTTTAATTTCTGGGAGCGCAATAAGCAACTACCAAACAGGTTTTCATCAGCAAATGAGTTGCTCATGGGTGACTGCAAAATCGTACATGCAAGTATTCAAATCCGGTGAAAAAGCAAAAAAGCAGAAAGACTGTGTTCGATGATATTGAATACAATCCGACTTGGAGGTGGCCTGCCGGATACATTTTTCCCCTCCCCTCCCCTGTTCGCAGACTGAACGAAAAGTGAAAAACGTCAGTGCTTTTAGGTGTGTATGGTTTTTGAGAAGGCAAATCTAATCTGAGAACTGAGGTAATGCAAATGCAACAATCGCACAAGTGGACCAGTAAAATCTCCGCAGTTACCTGCATTTCTCCTGTCTTAGTTCAACCATCATATTACTGGCCAAACCCCAAAACGACGCAATACATCGATGTTGAGGCTCATTGATGTGGAAACAAACTGGCAGATGAAAAGCGGACCCAAATTAGAAAGATTCATTCGTGTTTTCGCTCCTGTGTACCGTCAGCGTTAGTGAACGACCAACGGTCTATTGAGGATGAGTGAGGATTGGGAAAAGAGTCAGTCGTCGATTCGCAGTTGACTGAAGAAACACTCTGGCGCGTAGCGAACTTTGAAACAGGGTTCAGAGCAATATGAGTGTTCACAGACGAACAACTCGTGCGCAAAAAGAACACTATTCCTTGCCTAGTGAAATTTGTCAATACCACTGAAAGTGAAAGGTTTACATGACAGGATACCGAGTACCAAGTTACATCAAACATGCAAACTAAACGTGAACCAAGGTGGAATATTTGGTGGCACGCAGTTGGTATAATTCCGCAGCGCTCGAAAAGGAAATAAGAAATTTCAATGGTTGGGGTTTCCGTGTTCGAAAAACGCAGCCAATGCAATAAATTAGCTGAGCGAGACTAAAAATAACGCGAAATTATGTGGTAGACGCTCGAATACCAGAAGCCTCATAATACTGGATTCGATTCAACTGTATAGCTAAAATCAGAAGAACCCACTCGCAACAAGGGCTACTTTGACCTTCCTTCGGGAACTACATAAGTTCCAATGTTTAATCGATGTGATACAGAATGATGAGTGGTGGCAGGAGATTCTGTAATCCACGTGGCATTCATTATCCATTACCGCACATTCAGTTTACGTATCCGTTAGCAGAAAAAAGCCACAGATTACTGGCAAATGATAGGGTTTTCACCGGTAAACCTAAAGGGGTGCCTACAACCATCAATTCCTATGAAAGAGGAAAACAGTCTCATGGTTATTAGAAAGGTATGGTCAAGAAGAGTATTACCAGGAGCATCCGCCGAAAGGTCAAATTAACATTCACACGATAGTGTATATGGGTGTTCTATCAGTCGCCATGATCCTTGAGGGATGGAGGTATGCGTCATGCATGTTCCCGAAGTGCAACGCTCAACGAGAAAGATGACAATCGGAAAGTGAAAAAAATATGGCTAGTCCAACATGTATTAGAAAAACGTGAAAAACTTGAAATAAACAGGATCAATAATATTAGACTGACCAATTAGGGGGAACATGTTTGGAAGGAAACCCATAGTGACATGACCAAGAATCGCGAATATTCATAGAAAGAAAAATCTTGAGCACCCCAATTCTACCATTGAACTCCACAACTTGCCACTGGAAAATGCCTAGCAGAACGGATGAACTTCAAAAATACCAGGGGTCATACAGATTACCGATTCAGAGGGTAACACACCTATCTACCACCATAATGATGTGGCGTGGATAGGGTTCACACTTAGGACTATTAGCGTACCATTCAACAACCGCCATCATCTAGACGGTTACGAAACTGAAACTAGTCAGACTATCCAGGCAATGATTTCTCAAGATTAAATTGTACTAGGAAGGTAAAATCGTTAAGCAAATCAAACACAAACAACCAAGCGCATTTATACCTTTTGACGGTCGACGTAAGGGATCACCATCGGCCGAGGGTAGCTGGTAGCGAATAACTTTAGCTTCTTCCGGCTGAAAGTCGAGAGAAAATGGGATGTGAAAAAGGATCACTCTTCAGTGACAAATGGGAGGAACAATAATAATAAATAATAAAAATAATAATAGTACCAAAAACAACGTGTGGAAACACCCACGAGGAAACGCCTGTTGTGAAATGGAATAAGTTTTGTACCTGCAATTGCAATACGTTGAACGCTGAATGATATGGTCATAGTGATAAGGAAAAGACCATTTTCCCTTATAAAAATGACTGTTTCCCTTTTCTTATTTTTCGAAAATTGAAATTTCCGAATTTTCTAGCGGGGAAAGCCTATCTACACCAGTGACCATAGGTGATCCGAATAGGTTCATTCCTTAAGAATCCTGTACTTTCAAGCCAAGTTTCAAAGTCACTGTTGGCCAGTCCCGAAACTGTATATAAACAGATGACCTGTCCATAGCCATCGTATTGTAGGTCGAGTCAAATCAATCTCACCTATAGCTCTGTCTTATCTCTGGTTAGTTTCCGGGAACGCGCTACTCTATAAGGACGCTTCTTCCGGTTCTCTTGGAAACAGCGCTGGGCACCGCAGGAGGACGTATTCGTGTTGTGTTCACTCGGTCACTGGGTCGTTCCGGATCGGATTTGTGGTCAGTCCTACCGCTCGTTAGGTTTTGGTCACGGATCAGACTAGTCAGGTCGTGCCGTCATCAGAACGATACAACACATGGATCTTGATACGGCATGTCAGTTTCACAAATCCACGGGATCTAAACTCCATTGTCGTTCGAAAGTGTTTGTCCCTCGTCTGACACCGAACTCATTTACCTGAGAACACAGGAAAACCTAACAACGCTGGGATTTTTATCCCGTGAAGTGAGCTACAGTTCATAGGAGTACAAAACTGTATGCTTATATTTAAGTAGTTGGAGAGCAGCAGGGTCATCAGTGTTCAGCGAAATATAGTGAGGCAAAGTTCACCGATCGATGCCAAGCTGGTGAGAATTTGTAAGGTGGACCGAGAGTGAGTCCATTTTTCGGGAGAGAGAAAGAAAGTGAACCCCTATGGTCAACACCCAGTACACAATCTAACGGTGCATACATGTCTTACAAGTATTCCAGCCTGAAAAAAAACAAGAACGCCAATGCCATCTGTTCGCCGCCAACCGGCCGGTTGCAGTTTTTTTGGACCCCAAACTGGAAGGCGCGAGACACCTAGTCCACCCAATAGCTCTTCATGCCTCATCTCCACGTAATAAAAAAATGATGTCTTTTTACTTCCTTTTTTATTTATTGAATATACAAATGTACAGCCAACTTTCAGGAAGGAGGTCGCAGGACATACAAAGGCCGCCTGGGAAAATGCAGAAATAGGGAAGACGGGTGGCGGTGGAACGGCTCGAAACCGGGGCTCCCAGGTCACCGCCCGTCATTAGTTGACCTCCACGTGATTTCCTCCAGCCGTGAGCAGTTACAGCGAACAATGCGCGGTGTAGCAAACGACAGCTGGGCATAGACAATGCATATTTTCACCAGCGAAAACTACCTATCTGAGTCCTATAAGCTAGAAAGTTTATGCCCAATAAACTCCCAAACACACGGCGGCTTACCTCCAGATTACTAACCCGTTCGCTCCATCCCAGGTGAGTCAAAATACGTAAACACCGATAGCAGGATGCTAACATTGTATATGATTGGCCTCAAAAGCCTCGGTACGGTCGGGGGTGGGTGTCTTGGGTTGCGGCTGGTCACCCCTCCCTTCCATCTCGCGAAATGTTCCATACGATCAAACGTCTCAGATAGCCTCTACTGAGGAAACCTTACTCACTGCGTTACAGTGGCGGAGGTGTCTTCCCACCAAAATGAGAGGACAAAAAACCAATATCCAGGGCTGTAA